ACAGGGACACAAGGGACGTAAAGCAATGAAAACAGTCATTAACAGTACGACACTCCCACATACTGTAAACAATCCCTCCCCTCTGCCTGTGATATAATTAAGGTAGTTAATGCATAAACTTAATTATCCACAGGCAGAAAAAAACACACCTTTATATAAAGTCCCTTAAGTACCCCAAAACACAACATACACCCCCTGATAGCTCTGATCTGGGTGAACAACGTATCCAAAAATCACCCAGCTCAGATAAGGGGTTCATACATTTTATGGAAGTCATATTTTTGCGAACACAGGATTTCATGCCCAAAACCGTTCCATAGAATCGCGGCTAAGTGCCGCTGGAGGACTGATGGGAACCATAAGGTTTTCATGCTGAAAATCGTTCCAGGGCATTCACGGCTAAGTCTGAAGTCTATTCATGGTTTTAGTCCATGCAAACAAGATGGCCACCACCACGTGTTCGAATGTCAAATGGCGGCCACTTCGACTGTTCGGGAGTTCGAAGAACCATTGTTTAAAGTCCCAATAGCCACAAATCGGTTCTCTCAGCCAAAATTTAAAGGGGCCATAGTCTCAGGCTAAAAGGCTGGAAAGAATCCCCTCCAAAAACCAGTGGCGAGGTTGCTTTTGTCACATACTGTATGACTTCACCATTCATTATAGACCCGGTAAGCAAAATGGGAATGCCGATGGGTTGTCAAGGCAGACTGAACTGGAGAGGTGATCCGTGAGTACTTCCCCGGACATCCCCAAGCCTATCTGTTGGGATCAGACTGTGTTTGCCGGCTTGTGGTTAAAGGGGAGCTGGTTGGCAGAACCGTTGACTGTTTGTGGATTTCTTTTTTCTTTTCAAGTGTTTTCCTTATATTTTCATGTATTTTGCCCGTTCCCCTTTGGAAGTGCTTCCACAAAGGGAAGTCATTTGCCTCCCGAACGGGGACCACCCCAATGCCCCATTTAGAACACTGGGTTAGAACATTCTCACCTCACAACCTAAGTGTCAAAGCACAAACCGGAGGGGAAACAATTGAATGCTTCCCTGGGTGGCTGCCATTCGTACAGGCGAAGCATTTGTGGGTTGTTTCCCCACTCGTTCTCCTGAATGAGGACCTCCCCAATGCCCCATTAGAACGTTCACACCAATTACTCAGAATTTTCACACTCTCCACATAAGTGTGAAACCGCAAGGGAAGTAATTAATGAGTGCTCCCCTTGGTGGCCTCTATTTTGTATAGACAACCTCCGTCCAGGGGGAGCATTAGTATCCCGAAAGGAGACGCTTCCCCTTGCAGGGTTTCACACAGGGACCTCGGGAGCAGGGACTGGTTGAGGAAGGTAGCGCTGTGAGAGTCCCTGAGGTTGGTGTTGACACTTCTGGGGCACTGGCTAGGTTGGCTGGCTTTCCTGTGCTGGAAGACAAAGGGACAGTCCCTTTTTCCCATGCCTAAACACCCAGGCACAGATGCTCCTGGGAAGAAGACCCTTGGCGATTGATGTGGAGAATCCTGTGGATTTAGTGGTGGGCTTTGGGGACAAAGGGAACTGAGTCCCTTCTTGCGCTAGGACCCCAAGTTAGGGGAGAATCCTGGGATGTGACCCTGTATGGTTGTGTGGTAGACCCCTCTCATGGGGTAATGCATAAAAGCCGTGTGTGGCCAATAAAATTCATGTGGTACCTCTAGAACTATGTCCTGTCCAGTTACTGGGGAAAAATGGGTCTTTGCATACTTTAAGTGGTTCCTGAGTGGCTGAAGGCAGGAAATTAGCAGAGGTAACCGTTTGGGTTACCTGGGGTCCGCTACACTGTCCTCCCCTGATTTCTCACCACCCGTCTTGACTCGTGTCTCTAAATGCATCTCTGCTATCTCCAACTGGATGTTCGCCTTCTAGAATTTTCTCCCTGACTGAGTTTTTTGCTAAAGTGTGAATTCAAAGTAAATTAAAAGCCAAGGTAGCTGAATTTGTCCTGTTCAGGTACTTTGGCCTTCAATTTTATACCCTGTTCCAAATTATTATGCAAATTATATATTTCTCATTTACCTAAATAATTGATGTAAATAACAGTCAGCATAATTCTCATGTTATCAACTATTAAGAGTACAATTCAAATGTTATTGAACAAACCTCCTAATGATAACAGTATTTTTTACCCCTTAAGGACACATGACATGTGTGACATGTCATGATTCCCTTTTATTCCAGAAGTTTGGTCCTTAAGGGGTTAAACATAAAAAACTAACAATGCACTGTTCCAAATTATTATGCACAGTAAGTTTCAAAACACTTTATAGGTTGGAAAGAACTGAAAATTGTCATTTGTTGTGTTTGCAACATATTTACTGAAATCAAAAGCTATTTCAATCAAACTTATAACATTTTAACTTTTTAAACATTTTAACAGGTCACGTTACATTTTAACATAGCAGCTTCACAAGCCTTGCATCCATTGAACTTGAGAGTTTTTGGACAGTTTCTGCTTGAATTTGTTTGCAAGATGTCAGAATAGCCTCCTACAGCTGCTGTTTAGATGTAAATTGCCTCCCACCCTCATAGATCTTTTGCTTGAGGAGGCTCCAAAGGTTCTCAATAGGATTGAGGTCAGGGGAGGATGGAGGCCACACCATGACTTTCTCTCCTTTTATCCCCATAGCAGCCATTGATGCAGAGGTGTTCTTTGCAGCATGAGATGGTGCATTGTCATGCATGAAGATGATTTTATTACAGAAAGCGTAGTTCTTCTTTCTGTACCAGGGAAGAAAGTGGTCAGTCAGAAACTCCACATACTTTGCATAGGTCATATTTACACCTTCGGGGACCCTAAATGGGCCGACCAGCTCTCTTCCCATGATTCTAGACCAAAACATGTTGCATCCTTGTTGGAACAGGGTGGCCGTCCACCAGCCATCCATTACTCCATCCATCTGGACCATCCAGGGTTGCACGGCACTCATCAGTGAACAGGACTGTTTGAAAATTAGTCTTCATGTATTTTTCTGCTCAATGCAGCCATTTCTGCTTGTGAGCATTGGTTAGTGGTGGCCTAATAGAAGGTTTATGCACAGTTGCAAGACTCTGGAGGACTCAATACCTTGATGTCCATGGGAGCTTCAAATATCTGTTTGCTGCTATGTAATGGTATTCTAGGAGCTGCTCTCTTGATCCGATGCATGGATCTGGCAGAAATCTTTCTCAATGTGCCTTTATCTGCACGAACCAGTCTTTACTCTGAATCAGCCACAAATCTCTTAATAGTGCGATGATCACGCTTAAGTTTTCGTGAAATATATAATGTTTTCATACCTCGTCCAAGGCATTGAACTATTTCACTCTTTTCGGCAGCAGAGAGATCCTTTTTCTACCCCATATTGCATGAAAATGGTGCTCTACTTAATAATGTGGAACACCCTCCTTTAGTAGTTTTTCCTTAAATTGGGCTCACCTGGCAATCTAATTATCACAGGTGTCCGAGATTGTTTTCAGTGATCAAAAGAGCCCTGAGACACAATGCCATCCATGAGTTAAACTGAAAAACAAAATATTTTATCTTTGTGACACTTAAATAGAATTTACATAATAATTTGGAACAGGGTGTAAATTCACTTAGTACTTAGTTTTGTGAATAATCCTGTGTGTATATAAGGTTTCTCCAAGACTCCCCACACTGGGTGTGTCTGAAGCATGCTATCATGCTATCCCAGGTTTTTCGGGTACAGTTACATTACTGTATTGTCCCGTATTCTCAAGTCTTTAATATACTGGATTTTTCTGTTCTGACAATTGTAATAATGTCATGTTATAATTTTTTGTATCACATCAGGAATAGTGTAACCTAAACAAATTCCTGCATGATAAGCGATACAAAGTTACACTTTCATTTTAACCACTTCAATGTCATGGTTGTTCCTCTAATTTATTTACCATGTGCTGGTCAAATGGTTAAATCAATAAAATTAAGGGGGGGGTTATATATATTTTATTTTGACAGATATTTTAATAATTCATGAGTCCAATATATCAGAAGGTGGGGTTTCCAGACCAAGGGTGTGGAGTCAAATGTGTAGGTGGAGTCTAACTGGTACTATCTTAAAACTTCACTTGCCTCCACTGGTATGCACACTGGAAGTACAGTTAAACAAAAAAAACAAAAAACCACAAGTGACAAACTCTTGTTATCACCTAAATTAATAAGTAATAGCACATAGAAAAATGTCATATGTGCTTATAGCAATCGCCTATTCACAATTCCAATAACTCCAGCAACATGATACACTCTAGAAAGGGTATTAGTTTATTGGCACTACAACATGAGACAGTCAGAATAACAATGCAGTGAATCTGTAAGCTCATTGAGAAGGGTCCTCATCAATCCACTGTTACTGTAACATTTTGTAATTGTCTCATTTATTAAGTTTCCCCCTTTATAATATTGTAACGCGTTGCGGCATAAGTTGGTGCTATATTGATGATGACGATGATAATAAAGTATGTACTCAGGTTAACCAATGAGAGAATAATGTTAGCTGATTTGAACAGGGAGAAATACAACACAACATGAATGTAATACCAAAAGCTATCAAAACCACCGATTATGTTGATAACCAGAATGTTAGATCTATTAAACTATAAAATAAAAAAAATAAAAAATTGTACTTTGAAGGGACAATTCATTCACTTACTGAATGTTTCAAAGATGCCGTGACATATTTACTTTAAATTATAAAATATCATTGGAACTACAGAAGGTAAAATCATGATTGTTAATTTTACAAGTTATGATTTAATGTGATCGGTGTAAATCAATGTTTAGAGTTAGATCGAAAGTGTCAGTGACAGATAACATTGGGTATCACAGCTTTTTTATATTCAATTAAAAGGTTTAACATACAGAGTTTCAACAAACTTAAATATTGATATTCACACTAGTCATTCATTGGAGTACCATACATGTGTTGTCGCCCTCCCCTCTTCATCTCCCCCCTCCCCTCCCATTAATTCACACTTTTGATTCTTTCTTGTAGGTGTGGGCTATACAGTGATATTAATAGCTCTCTACGTGGGATTCTATTACAATGTAATAATTGCTTGGTCATTGTACTACCTTGCATCTTCCTTCACCTCTGTTCTTCCATGGACCAAGTGTGGCAATGAGTGGAACAGTCCCAACTGCACTGATCCCAAGCATCTCAATATTTCTCTACTCAGTAATGGAACTAAATACTCAAAATATAAAATAACTCCAGCCACTGAATTTTATGAGTAAGTGTTTCATTTTGATTTTAATAGTAAATCCCATGATTATTGACACCTGCAATACTCTGAAACAAAGTTTATTAACTAAAATAAAAATATGACATGTTGATAATAAATGGTGTATTCTCTAACAGATAATAATTGCTTTGAGATGGTTTTATGTGTTGAAAATACATGTTTGTATGTAATATAGTAGATTGAGCTCACACTTACTGTAAAATTGTTATTTAGACATTGAAAATGGTTCTTTAAAGAGGATTTAAAGGGACACTATGGTCACCAGAACAACTACAGCATATTGTATTTGTTTTGGGGAGTATAATCATTCTCTTCAGGCTTTTTGCAGTAAACACGGTCTTTTCTGAGAAAAAGCAGTGTTTACATTACAGCCTAGGGATACCTGCAGTGGCCACTCCTCATACGGCTACTAGAGGTGCTTTCTGGGGAAATGCTGCACACATTGCAGCACAGGCATTCATCATAGAAATGCATTGATTCAATGTATCTCTCTAAGGAGATGCTGATTTCCAGGGCAGTGTTTGGCTTGTGCTGGCTTTGCCCCTGATCTACCTCCTTGACAGTCTCAGCCAATCCAATAGGAAAGCATTGTGATTGCTTAAGAGAATCACTTGTGATCAGGGGTAGAGACAGAAGCAGCAGACTGGAATAAAGATAAGATTATACTATATTTAGAGGGACGGGAGGGGCAGGGGAGCTAGATGGTGTTTTAACAATATAGTGTCAGGAATACATGTTATAGTGTTCCTTTAACCCCTTAAGGACACATGACCTGTGTGACATGTCATGATTCCCTTTTATTCCAGAAGTTTGGTCCTTAAGGGGTTAGCAGCAGGAACAGAAATCACTGAAGGTAAATGCTTATTGTGATTGGTTTATTTTTCAAAGGATGACATTCACATTTGTTATATAAACAAAACAAAAATAATTAAAGGGACACTATAGTCACCAAAACAACTTTAACTTAATGAAGCAGTTTTGGTGTATGTATCATGTCCCTGCAGTCTCACTGCTCAATTCTCTGCCATTTAGGAGTTAAATCACTTTGTTTATGAACTCTAATCATACCTCCCTGCATGTGACTTTCAAAGCCAGCCTCTTCTCCTGGGGGGCCGGCGTGCGAGGGAGCCCTCTCTCCTGTGTGCTTCCTCTTCAGCTCCCTCGCGCACCGCACTGATACCGGAGCCGGAAGATGACGTCATCTTCTGGCGCCGGCATACCTATGCGGCGTGCGAGGGAGTTGAAGAGGAAGCACACAGGGGAGAGTGCTCCCTCGCGCGCCGGCCACCCAGACAGACAGCCCGCCCGCCGGGGTCAGCCTCGGGGGGGCCCTGAGGTGGCCGCCCAGGAGCCAAGTAGCACCACTGGACCCCAGGCAGGGCCGGTGCAAGGATTTTTGCCACCCTAGGCAAAAGTAAAGTTTGCCGCCCCCCCCATGTGACATCACAATGCCCCACCCATATGATCTGCCATGTTAACTAACGCCAGTGCTGCAGTGCCGCCGTGTTTACATTAAAAGGCCCTGCAGGCTATGGACACCAGAACCACTACATTAAGCTGAAGTGGTTCTGGGGACTAGAGATTAGTGCCATGAATAATATACTAGATTGCCTACTTACAACCAGATGAGGATGATGATGGGCTCTAGCTGCAGTCTGGCTCCACTGGTCTGGTGTAGAACAGGCTCCCTGGAGGCTGTTTGTAACTGTGGTCACAAAAATCAATGTTCTGGGAGAATGGGAAGCAGCTCCATTTTTTTTTTTTAAGGCCCTTTACACAGCTCAAGGTCTGGGTCCCAAGGTCCACTTTCATGTTCCACCAATGAGTTTGTTCACAGGGGGTGGAGTAGGGGGATGTCCGGATATGTGTGTAAGGAATGCATTGTGTGAATCTGTGTTTGTATGTGTAAGAGCTGCAAGGTGTGTTTCTGTGTATGTACGGGATGCATTGAGTGTGTGCATCTGTAAGGGGTGCATTGAGTGTGTGTAAGGAATGCATTGTGTGTTTCTGTGTGTGTAAGGGATGCATTGTGTGTAAGAGTTGCATTGCTTGTGTGTGTGTGTCTGTGTGCGTAATGCATTGTGTGTTTTTCTGTGTGCAAGGGGTGCTTTGTCTTTGTGTGTAAGGGGTGCATTGTGTGTGTGTGTGATGGATGTCAGTCTCTTCTCCCCCCTCTACCTCCCTTGTCCCTCTCTTCTCCCCCCCTTGTCACTCTCTTCTCCCCTGCTTGTCCCTCTCTTCTCCCCCCTCCCTTGTCACTCTCTTCTCCCCCGTTGTCACTCTCTTCTCCCCTCCCCACTCTTATTCACCCATAAATTCCCCTCCCTGTCAATTTCTTCCCCTCCCCTGTCAATCCCCTGTATTCCCCCCCTGTAAATTTCCCCCTCCTGTCAATTTCCCCCTCCCTGTCAGTTTCCCCCCTTCCTGTCAATTTCCCCCTCCCTGTCAATTCACCCCTCCTGTCAATTTACCCCGTCCATTTCCCCCCTCCCTGTCCATTTCCCCCCACCTGTCCATTCCCCCCATGTCAATTTCTCCCCCTACCTCCCTGTAGCATGGCCGAGCCCTCTATGGTATGGTCTGCGGGTACAGGGAGCTTTTGTTTCCTGTACCCAGCCGGACTAACAAGAAGTACACACTCAGTGTGCACTTCCTGTTAGTCCAGCCGGGTACAGGACACAAAAGCTCCCTGTACCCGCGGACCATATCATAGAGGGCTCGGCCACGCTACAGGGAGGGAGTGACAGGAGGGAGTGCTCAGCGCTTCCCTCCTGTCAGCCCCTCTCCCCATGCTGCGCCCGGGCGGAGCGGTCTGCCCTCATGGACGCACCGCCCGGGCAAAGCTGCAGCCGCCTGAGGCTCTCTACAGAGTGCTCTGGCGGCTGCAGCATGAGCGGGGCCAGCGCTCCTGGCGGCGCCCCCTCCCAAGGGGCGCCCTAAGCGGCTGCCTAGTCTGCCTTACAGGTAGTGCCGGCCCTGACCCCAGGGAATCCCCTCAGCTCTCCAAAAGGTAAGGAGGCTGGGGGGATTACATTTAAAAAAAAATGTGTGTGTTAGTGTGTGTGTTTGTATCAATGAGTGTCTGTTATTGGGTGTGTGTCTGCTAGTGAGTGTGTTTGATGTCTGTTAGTGAGTGTGTGTTTGTCAGTGAAAGTTTTTTTGTGAGTGTGTATGTATGTCTGTTGCTGAGTGTGTCTCTGTCAGTAAATGTGTGTGTCTGTTAGCTAGTGTGTATGCGTCTGTTCGTGAGAGTGTGTGTGCGTGTGTGTCTTCAGCATTTACCTTTCTCCAGCGTCGGACTCCCTTGGCGCTGGGGATCCCTCCGCCTCTCAGCTCCGAATGCACATGTGCGGCAAGAGGCGCGCGAGCATTTAAACCGCCCATAGGAAAGCATTACTCAATGCTTTCCTATGGACGTTCAGTGTCTTCTCACTGTGATTTTCACAGTGAGAATCGCGGAAGCTCCTCTAGCAGCTGTCAATGAGACAGCCACCAGAGACTGGATTAACCCTCAGTGAAACATAGCCGTTTCTCTGAAACGGCTATGTTTTCAGCTACAGGGTTAAAACCAGAGGAACCTGGCACCCAGACCACTTCATTGAGCTGATGTGATCTGGCTGCTTGTAGTGGTCCTTTAAGTGTGTGTGCATACTGCGGTCGCGGGGTCGCAGTCCTGCAACCCCTGCGACCAGGTGCCCGCCGCCATGTGTTGTGGCCCCTACCCGCGCCGAGTAAGCACAAGGGGGGGGAGGGGGCCACGGATACACTTGTTTAAGGTAAATTACATCTGATTAAAAGTGAAACCAGTTTTTTTTTTTTTTCCATGCAGACTGTGTCAATCAGGGAGGTGTGACAAGTGCTGCATAAACAGAAACAAAGTGATTTAACTCCTAAATGGCAGTGAATTGAGCAGTGAAACCTGAGAATCATGAGCTATGCACTAAAACGGCTTTATTAAGCTAAAGTTATTTAGGTGACTATAATGTTCCTTTAACTACTTTTTCATTTAACCCCTTAAGGACCGAGGACGGATCAGGACCGTCATCGGCATTTTTGCCTTGAGGACCGATGACGGTCCTGAACCGTCCTAACGGTCAGAGCTACTTACCTGATCGCCGTCGTTCCCCGGGCGGCGATCAGCGTGGCTCCGGTTGTGGGGAGACTGCCTGCAGCCCAGACAGTCTCCCCACGGCAGATTAGGACCCCTGTGGCCATGTGATCGCTTAACACAGCAATCACATGGTCACAATAGGTGTCCATAGTGCTGCCTGCAGGGGGACTGTCTGTGCTGACAGGCAGTCTCCCTGCTTGTGTAAAATCAGAAAAAAAAAATAAAGTTAGTGTTAATTAAAAAAAAAAAAATTATTATATATGTGTATATATGATATATAGACATATATTATATCTATATAATATATGTCTATATATCATATATATAATGCCATACTAAGTGTATTTTTATATTAATATGTACTTATATTAATATAAAAAATACACTTATAATTAAATTACACACGTATATATATAATATATATAATAACTATATATATTGTATATATATATTATTATAAAATATAAATAATAAGTAATTTAAATTAAATAAAAAATTTTTAAAATAATAATAAAAAATTAAAAAAAATTATATAGCTATATGAAATTTTATTCTAACTGTATTTTAAAATTAATATATATATATTTATATCAAAATACACTTAGAATGAATTTGTATATATATCTATGTATATAAAAATAAATAAAAATAAGAAATATACATACGTCCATATACAAAATTACATAAATAAATATATAAATATACACGTAGACTTCAAATATATAAATATGCATATATATTTAAATTCTACGTGCGTATTTATGTAATATTTTTACATAATTCAGTAATTTTATTGATTGCAATTTGAGGACCTGCCTGCCAACCCAGGCCGAAATTCCAGAGAATTTAATTTGCTAGCACTGTATTTTACCCTGTAACGTTCTACGACACCCTAAAACCTGTACATGGGGGTACTGTTTTACTCAGGAGACTTCGCTGAACACAAATATTAGTGATTCAAAACAGTAAAACATATCACAGTGATGATATTGTCAGTGAAAGTGACTTTTTTTGCATTTTTCACACACAAACAGCACTTTTACTGATGATATAATTGTTGTGATACGTTTTCCAGTTTTTAAACACTAATATTTGTGTTCAGCAAAGTCTCCTGAGTAAAACAGTACCCCCCATGTACAGGTTTTATAGTATTTTTGAAAGTTGCAAGGTCAAATATATGGGTCAAATATTTTTACATTGAAAATGGCCAGGTTGGTTACGTTGCCTTTGAGAGCGTATGGTAGCCCAGGAATGAGAATTACCCCCATGGTGGCATACCATTTGCAAAAGAAGACAACCCAAGGTATTGCAAATGGGGTATGTCCAGTCTTTTTAGTAACCACTTGGTCACAAACACTGGCCAAAATTAGCGTTCAATTTAGTTTTTTTACTTTTTTCACACACAAACAAATATGAATGCTTACTTTGGCCAGTGTTTTTCGACTAAGTGGCTACTAAAAAAGACTGGACATACCCCATATTGAATACCCTGGGTTGTCTACTTTAAAAAAAATATGTACATGTGGGGTGTTATTCAGAGATTTATGACAGATAATAGTGTTACAATGTCACTATTGATAAATTTTAAAAATGTATGTTTTGAAACCGCAATATCCTACTTGTACCTAAAGCCCTATAACATGCAAAAAAAAGCAAAAAAGCACGTAAACACTGGGTATTTTTAAACTCAGGACAAAATTTTGAATCTATTTAGCAGTTTTTTTCATTCGCTTTTGTAGATGAGTAAAAGATTTTTCAAGTAAAAGTCAAAAAACATGTATTTTTTTCAATTTTTCATCATATTTTTTTATTTTTTTTAAATTAAAATACATGAGATTATATAAATAATGGTATGTAAAGAAAGCCCCTTTTGTCCTGAAAAAAACAATATATAATTTGTATGGGAACAGTAAATGAGAAGCGGAAAATTACAGCCAAACACAAACACCACAAAAGTGTAAAAATATGCCTGGTCGCAAATGTACAACATCGCAAAAACAGTCCAGTCCTTAAGGGGTTAATAGGTTTTCTTTTTTTTTTGCAACCCTTCCAGTATTTACTCTACCTTTGTTTTCACTGGATATTTTTTATTACTTTTAAGGAACTTTATTGTTTCTTATCTAGGATGTTTCTCCTTTATTTAGCTAAAACTTTTACTATATTGGACTATAATTGGTCTGTGTCCACTTGGACCTATTCGATAACTAAAGGGACACTATAGTCACCAGAACAACTCCAGCTTAATGTAGTTGTTTTGGTGAGTACAGTATGTCCCTGCAGGCATTTTCATGTAAACCCTGCCTTTTCAGAAAAAAAAGACAGTGTTTACGTTGCTTCAGTGGCAATTAGAGTTGAGCTAACGCGAACTGAAAAGTCCAGGTTCGCACCGAACATTAAGGTTTTTGGACCCCGGACCTGAACACGGACATTTCAGTGTATGTTCGGTTTGGAGTTCGGTGTTCGGCGATTTAATGGCGCGTTTTGAAAGGCTGCAGGGCAGACAATCAACAAGCGTTTGACTCGTGTGCCCATCACAGCCATGCCGAAAATTAAAAAAACAGAACACACTAGCACAGACAACAGAAGACATAGTCGAGACATTTATCTCTCATTATACAACCTAAGGGACCGCAAAATAAAGACGAGATTAAGACGTACTTGGAAGACAAATTATACAAAATCCTTCATTGTCCCGCACCCTGGATGAGCCATTCACAAGAGCCCAGGCCCGGATGACTTCTCAGCCACATATTCTAAATCCTTTTTAAAAGAGCTAGGCAAACATTTCTTAGAAGCCCTAAACTCCATATCTCTGACTCAAACAATTCCCCACTGTAACCTAGAGGCCAATATTACACTGTATCACGTATTCATCTGCACATAAAAATATGATTAATGGCATTTACTTTTCTTACAGGAAAAGTTGTGCCAAGCAACATTACTGTCCTGACAGGAAAAGTTATGTCGAGCAGTAATCAATCCACAGGAGGGTTTGTGCTGAGCAGCAATCATGCGGGGGGTTTAGGCCCAGTTCTCCTCTTGCTCAGTGCCCTGTCGTGGTTTCCCTTGTGGTTGTCCGAGGGCGCGTTATTGATTCTGGTGTTTCTGGTTATTTGACTTTGGCATTGATATTGACTTCCCTGTTTTCAGGCATCCCTGACCCCAGGCTTTTCCTTATTGTTGTCTCTTTCTGTATCCCTTGACCTCGGCTATTTCTGACTATTCTTTGGTACGTTAGTCCAGCCATTCTAAGGTCTGGTATATGTTACAATCCTCTTTGGTATATGCTATCAATCCTCTTTGTTACACAATTCTACGTGCTGGATCATACTGTAATACTGACACACTGCTCCCTAAGCCAGGGAAAGAGCTGGAGAGATGCTTGAGTTATCGCCCGATCTCTTATAAACATGGACGTAAACATTTTCACCAAGATGTTGGCTTCCAGATTATGACCCTTGCTTTCAGGACTAGTCCATCCTGATCAGGCTGGATTCGTCCCATTTAGGGAAGCCAAAGATAATACCACCAAGATTATAAACTTACTTAATTTAGCGAAGCAAAAAAATACTCCATCCCTCCTCTTAGCAATTGACGCAGATAAAGCTTTTGACAGGGTGGACTGGTCCTTTCTAACCAACACCTTGGAGGCATTTGGGTTTGGACACCGGTAGATCCAATGGATCCAGGCGATTTACTCAACCCCAATTGCCAAACTAAAAGTCAATGGAGAATTTTCCAACCTGTTCCCCATTTCAAATGGAATGCACCAAGGGTGCCCCCTCTCTCCCCTTTTTTCATCCTAGTCCTAAAACCCTTGTTACAGGACATTCGTAGACAGGAAGGAATAGAGGGCATCAAATTACAGAACCAGGAATATAAAAGGTCGGCTTTTGCAGACGACCTTCTATTCACCATTGAAAATCCTAAGAAAGGTTTGTCTCAGTTGATGGAGGCAATCACAACTTACAGTAAACTATCTAATTTCAAAATAAACATTTTCTCAACTTGAACCACTCAAACTCACAAATGTTACACCTGAAAAAGGCATATCATATCCAGCGGGCTAAACAATCAATAAAATACCTCTGGGGAAACCTTACATCTTCGATCAGTACAATATTTTCAGCAAATTTCCCTGGATTATTGTCCTCTATTCAGAGGGACCTAGAATCATGGGATAAACCGCACTCTAGATGAATGGGAAGGATAAATACTATTTCTATGAATGTCCTCCCACACATTCTATATCTACTGAATACTCTTCCAATAATAATCCCACAGAAATTCTTCCGTTCCATCCAAACCGTGCGGACCAAAGACATCTGGGCCAAGAAACGACCGCGCGTAGCCATAGGCATGCGCACAGGGTGTGCCGGGTGTGCCTGGGCAAACCCTAATCCCTGCGGCCCGCGCTGTGTGCCTCCATGGGCTGGTGAGGGAGATTACAGATCTCCCTCACCAGCCCACAGGCAGGGAGGGACGCAGGAGAGGACCTGGGGAGCTCTTGCCAGCAGCTCCACGGGGTTCCTCTTGTAAGGTCGGAGCATTGCAGCAGCAACGCTTAGATCTCGTAATAGTGAACTCTAGTGCTGGAGGCTAGAGTTCACTCACACTAAGACCACCAGGGATCAGTGATGGCAGCAAGGATCCCCTCTCCCAGGCAAAAGGTAAGAAGGGAGGGGGGCTATTTACTAGCCGCTGGCCTCTGCCGCTGGCCTCTGCCCTACTGACCCCCTTGTTAAAGGACTGGCCTGCACCCCCTCACCCCAGCAGAAGCACTGGCATCAGGGCCTCTGCCCCTAAAGTCCCCACAGCGTGTTGCCCCATCACCCCAGAGAAATACCCTGGTGAAGTAACTGTTTGTTGTGGGTGGGCTGCTCTTGCACTTTGTTGTTATGGGTGGGTTGTCAGACTAACTCAGGCACTGACCAACAGAAGGTCAGGTACCTGGTTAGTCTACCCCCCAAAGGGGAGATATGTGGCAAAAGTAACCTCGCCACTGGTTTTTGGAGGGGCCTGTTTGCCAGCCTCCTGCCCTGTGACTATGGCCCTGGGATGTATTGCCCTTCTAGGAACTGATGTGGGCATACTTGATTTTATTATGCTGCTGCTGGCCCTTTAAGAACCATCTGGGGACATACTGTGGAGTTACTGGGTGGCCACCATTTCATGTATCAGGGGCACATGGTGAGAACAATGGACGAAGCACATGGTGAGAACAATGGATGGTGGCCATTTTAACTCAGACACTTTTTGGACTTTTCTACACACTGTCATCTCGCCAGTATTTGGTGCACAAAGACATCGTGCAGTAGTTTTAAACTATAGAACAGGGGACACATTTAACAGTAATTCTTTTTTAAATAGCCTGTATATGTTCTGCGGAACCTGCATTAAACTGTATCTTCCAAACTACTGAACGGATCTGGGTGAATTTTGGATATATGGTTCACCCAGACCCCCCCGGTTCCGATGATATAGGGGGTTATTGCATGTTTTGGGGTCCCTGTGTTTTATAATACTGTATTTCTGTATTTCAGGCAGAGGGGAGGATTTTGTGTGGGAGTGTCTGTGTGTATTGTATGGATTGATTGGTTGTATTTCAAAACCCTGTGGGCAGTACTATGTTTGTGGATTGCGAATAAAAGAGGCTGTATGTGCCAGTACAGTCAGTTCTGCTTGACCTCAAAACGAAGTGTCGTCTCGTTATTGGGGGAATTGGATTGTATGCTGATTGCCAGGAGTGTAAGCTGATTGTATGCTGTAGCGGATGGCACTGGGCTGTCCTGGGAATTGTATTGGTGTTGACTGCATTCGTGTAAATGGCAAAGTTATATGTGTTAAATGTATTGTGCTCGTCTGATTGTTCGGTAGTTTCATTCCCTTAGTTTGTTCGAATGAAACTACCGAACAGTCAGACCTCCCATGTGTGAAGTGTGCCTTCAATACCCGTTGCAACATTGTTGCGAACGGGTAATTGACAAGCTGAGTAGCCGTCCTTTGTTCTCGGGGATGGCTGCCATTTGGGAAACGAACACGTGGCGGCGGCCATTTTAAAACTCCCGAACAGCGGTGTTTTGCCGTCGAGTGTCTGGAACTCAAATTGGACACTCGACTAGGCGAACACCGCTGAGACCTCCACAAGCCCGGTCCGTTCGGTTCCAAACTACCGAACGGCTCCTCGTTCGGTAGATAGAAACAACCGAACGAGGGGATTCAGGCGAACCCTCCCCAGTCTCTGCAACTAGAGGCTTTCGTGTGATTTATTCCCTTGTTCCAGGACCGACCGCAGGGCCCCATCGCATGGAGCCCAATTCGGCTATTCCTTTCAGTGAGGTCGGTCATTTTATTCCCTCCATGAATTTCCCGAACCCTTGGTCTGATCTGGGTGATTTTTGGATATGTTGTTCACCCAGATCAGGGCTACCAGGGGATGTATAATTTAAAGCGGTACCCCTAGGTCTAGGGGTACATCCAGAAACGGGGGGAATTGGTGTCCTGGATAAGGGGATTATGATGCAGGCTGAGGGGAGGGGATGTGTGGGAGGTTACCGGAACAGGATTGGCTACTGAATTAATGAATGGAAATCCCTCCCTTGCATGGGAGCATGCTTTATAAGGCCACTGTCTGAATAAATCTTTTGTTCTGCTCCTGATACTGTGTGTCGTCCAGTTATTGGGAGTGCTGTTGGGATACTACTGTATTGTTTTACCTGCTGGATACCTTGCCTATGGATTAATAATTATTTGTTCCTGAGCCTCACTGGGATCTACAAGTGGAGGTAGGCTATGAAATACTAGCTCTCCGCTACATTGGTTGGTAGCGCTGGGATCCAGAATCACAGAGGAACAAGCACAAATGGAGTACGGATGGAGATTGATTTTGCTACACTAAAACACTCCACGTTAAAGGACCTCCTGGAGGCAAGGGGTATTCAAGCCAGCAACAAGAAGAAAGCGGTACTTATTACCGAACTCCTGGCAGAGTACCGAATGGATGGGGGTTCGGTTACCGAACAGGGGGATTCGGGAGAAACACAGGAACAAATGGAGTTCCAGAGACAGTTACAATTTAGGCTGTCTTTTTATGGAGAGCACCCTTCAGCGGAAATTATTTCCAAGACCATGACAGAGGTCCAGGAATTCATACTGAGGCAACGGACAACAACAACCCCAGAACGCAGCTCTACAGTAAACATGCCACAGGAAGGTAAGCCTAAAATACCGTATCAGGCTTTTAAAACATATGTGGAGGCAGAGGAAGATATAGACGCTTTCCTGCAAGATTTTGAAAGACTGTGTACACTGCATAAAATCAGCACAGAGGACAGGGTACCTATTTTGGCAGGACGGTTAACTGGGAGGGCAGCAGAGGCGTATCGTACTGTGCCAGATGAAGAAATCAGGATTTACAGGAAAGTGAAAGAGATTATACTGGCCTGGTATGCTATAACACCAGAAGCATACCGGAGGAGATTCCGTGATTTGAAGAAAGTGGAGAAGGACTCACGTGCAGGTTACAACGGGCAGCACTCGGGTGGGTGCAAGCTAGCAAGGCACGGTCCATGGAGGACGTGATACAAATGCTGCTAATGGAACAATTCTATGATGGAGTGACAACAGATGTCCAGGAGTGGGTAAGGGACCAAAACCCTACCTCCCTCACAGAAGCTGCCAGGAAGGTAATGAGTACCTGGACGCACGCAGGCAACAAAAACCTGCAGTTCCAAAAGCCGCATGGAAAACCTTTGGGGGAACCAACTACACCCCAGCCCCACCGAGGCAACTACCACCGCCCGCTGCACAGCCACGGTTTCGCCAGCTGAGCTCTGCGCCCTGTCATCACTGCCAGAAATGGGGGCATTATAAAGGAGAATGCCCACAACTACGGGATCGTTCCACCTGGATCCGACCCGGCCCGGCACCACCACCAAGGGCCACCGCAGCACACTGCTACCAGGACATAATTGCAACACCATATGGCTCAGCAGTACCCATTACCACCGTGGAACAGTTGGAAGTATTACACGAGGCAGACCCAGTACAGGCGAATGCGGATAACAGACAGCACCACAGACAAACCGTGTACCTGGAGGAGAAAGCTGTACAAGGGCTCCGTGATTCCAGGGCCACTATTACTCTGGTCAAAAGCCACTTGGTAGTGGACAAAGCAAGAACCAACAGAACCGTAGCCGTCTGGGTAGCCAGGGGAGCTGTGTACCGGCTACCTACAGCCAGGGTTCATCTACATTGGGGAGCGGGGACGGGAGAAGTGGAGGTGGGGTTAGTGCCACAATTACCAGCCAAAGTTTTGCTGGGCAACAATCTGGGAAGACTCACGTCTGCATTTGAGCCCACACTGCCGGAGGTCCAGGTAAGAGATCCTTCCCCCTCCCTTGACTGTGTCCCCTGGGCCCCTCCTAACGAATTTGCAGCCGAGGTAATAACCGACCCCACGTTACAAGTACATAGGGACAAGGTTACAGCAGACATACCCTGGGGGGGGGGGGCAAAAGGTTTATCTGGGACAAGCAGCTGTTGTACAGGGAGTCTGACAAGCAGGTAGCCGGGTCAGACCCGATAGTTATGCGACAGTTGTTGGTACCACAGCGGTACCGAGCAGAGTTACTCCGGATAGCGCATGACATTCCGCTATCCGGACATTTAGGGGTCAGCCGGACCCGGCACAGACTAACCCAAAGTTTCTTTTGGCCTGGAGTTAGCCAGGAAGTGCGCCGATATTGCAACACTTGTGATACGTGCCAAAGGGTAGGGGAAAGGGGGGACCGGCGCAAGGCCAAGCTACACCCCCTTCCCATAATTGAGGAACCCTTTAGTAGGGTAGCAGTAGATTTAATAGGACCCCTCAACAAAGCGAGCCCGGAAGGCAAGAGAGATATCCTGACTGTGGTAAACTATGCCACTAGATATCCAGAGGTTGTGGCCCTCTCTAATATTCACGCGGAAACGGTGGTGGAGGCCCTCATGCAGATATTCTCCCGGATAGGACTCCCCAGGGAGATTATCTCAGATCAGGGTACCCAGTTCACCGCCGAAGTCACTCAGCGCCTCTCGAAGTTCTGTGACATTAAGCCTATCACCACCCCCAGACTAATGCGCTCTGCGAACGATTCAACGGGACATTGAAACAGATGCTCCGAACCTTCACAGAGACCCACAAGGACTGGGAGAAATTCCTGCCTCACCTCCTCTTTGCTTACAGAGAGGTGCCGCAGGAATCCACTGGGTTTTCCCCATTCAAATTATTGTTTGGCCGAAGGGTACGGGGGCCCTTAGATTTGATTCGAGAGCATTGGGAGGGAGAGCGGAGCACCGACGGTACCCCCATCATACCATATGTGTTGGCCTTCCGAGATCGCCTGGAGGCCCTAACTCAGACGGTGCAAGAAAATTTACAGGCGGCTCAGACCCGCCAGCGCACATGGTATGATCGGGGCGCCAGGGACCGTAGCTTTCAAGTCGGGCAGAAAGTGTTAATTTTAAAACCTGTCCGACATGATAAGTTACAGGCCGCCTGGCAAGGCCCCTATAAGGTGGTGGAACAAAGGTGTGACACCACTTATATAGTGGGCTCTTGCGTTGGTACTGGAGGGAGACGTATGCTCCATGTGAACATGATGAAGCCCTACCAGGAGCGCTCCGAGGAAGCGACCGCCATATGTGCACCTAACTCGGAGGAGTTCGACAGTTTGCTGCTCCCAGATCTTCTGGGAGATGGTCAGTTATCTGGGGATTTAGGGGAAGTTGCCCTGGGAGACTGGCTGAGTCCTCAGGAGCGGAGCGAGGTACAACAACTATTGAGAGAGAAGCGCGATACCTTCTCTAATGTACCTGGTTACACTCCTCTGGCCACCCACTGAGTAGACACCCCAGGTCAACTTCCCATGCGCCAGACCCCGTACCGCATCCCAGAAGCGGTGCGGGAAAATATGCGCAAGGAGATCGATGAGATGCTCCAGCTGGGGGTGAATGAACCCTCAGACAGCCCCTGGGCCTCTCCAGTAGTACTAGTACCAAAACGGGATGGGACGACCCGGTTTTGTGTAGACAACCAGAGGCTGAACGAGAAGACTGTGTCCGACGCCTATCCCATGCCTAGGATAGCCGAGCTACTGGACCGGATGGCTAGAGGGCACTACTATTGACCTGTGCAAGGGGTATTGGCAAATCCCTTTAGCACAGGACGCCATCCCTAAGTCAGCCTTTGTCATTCGGCTTGTATCAATTTAAGGTCATGCCGTTTGGGATGAAAAACGCCCCTGTTACTTTTCAGCGGATGGTGGATCGCCTCCTGGATGGGTTCCAAGACTATACCTGTGCATATCTCAATGATATTGCCATATTCAGCAATACCTGGCAGGAACACTTGGCCCATATAGGAGCGATCCTAGACAGGATTAGAGCAGCTGGTTTAACGCTGAAACCAGCCAAATGCAGTATAGGGATGGCCGAAGTACAATACCTCGGCCATCGGGTAGGATGCGGCAAGCAGAAGCCAGAACCAGCCAAGGTAGAGGCTGTAGCCCAATGGCCTACCCCTAGGACTAAGACTCAGGTACTAGCGTTCCTAGGAACAGCTGGATACTACCGGAAATTCGTCACTGACTTGACCCGTAAGAACCTTCCCCGTCAAGTGACCTGGACCCCGGAGTGTGAACAGGCATTCCAACTGCTGAAAAATGCATTGAACAATTCCCCTGTCTTGGCAGCTCCCAATCCAACTAAACGTTTTCTTGTTCACAAAGACACTTCTATGTTTGGATTGGGAGCAGTACTGAGCCAAGTAGGGGCCGATGGCGGAGAACATCCTGTGGCTTACATCAGTCGCAAGCTGTTACCTCGAGAAGTAAGCTACGCCGCCATCGAAAAGGAATGCCTGGCTGTGGTGTGGGCCCTGAAGAAATTGCAGCCGTATTTGTATGGACAGCCCTTTTCATTGTTCACGGATCACAACCCGTTGGTCTGGCTAAACCGGGTGGCTGGGGACAATGCCTGGCTGCTGCGCTGGAGTTTGGCGCTGCAGCCCTTTGACTTTAATATTCAGTACCGCCTGGGTAAACAGAATGGAAATGCTGACGGGTTGTCGAGACAAACAGACCTGGAGAAATGATCCATGAGCCTCCCCGGACATCCCCAAGCCGATCCGTGTCGGATCAGACTGTGTATGCCGACTTGTGGGCAAGGGGGAGCAGTGTAGCGGATGGCACTGGGCTGTCCTGGGAATTGTATTGGTGTTGACTGCATTCGTGTAAATGGCAAAGTTATATGTGTTAAATATATTGTGCTCGTCTGATTGTTCGGTAGTTCAGTAGTTTCATTTGAACAAACTAAGGGAATGAACAGTCAGACCTCCCATGTGTGAAGTGTGCCTTCAATACCCGTTGCAACATTGTTGCGAACGGGTAATTGACAAGCTGAGTAGCCATCCTTTGTTCTCGGGGGTGGCTGCCATTCGGGAAACGAACACGTGGCGGCGGCCATTTTAAAACTCCCATACAGCTGTGTTTTGCCGTCGAGTGTCTGGAACTCAAATCGGACACTCGACTAGGCGAACACCGCTGAGACCTCCACAAGCCCGGTCCGTTCGGTTCCAAACTACCGAACGGCTCCTTGTTCGGTAGATAGAAACAACCGAACGAGGGGATTCAGGCGAACCCTCCCCTGTCTCTGTAACTAGAGGCTTTCGTGTTATTTATTCCCTTGTTCCAGGACCGACCGCAGGGCCCCATCGCATGGTCATTTTATTCCCTCCATGAATTTCCCGAACCCCTGGTCTGATCTGGGTGATTTTTGGATATGTTGTTCACCCAGATCAGGGCTACCAGGGGATGTATAATTTAAAGTGGTACCCCTAGGTTTAGGGGTACATCCAGAAATGGGGGGAATTGGTGTCCTGGATAAGGCTGAGGGGAGGGGATGTGTGGGAGGTTACCGGAACAGGATTGGCTACTGTATTAATGAATGGAAATCCCTCCCTTGCATGGGAGCATGCTTTATAAGGCCACTGTCTGAATAAATCTTTTGTTCTGCTCCTGATACTGTGTGTCATCCAGTTATTGGGAGTGCTGTTGGGATACTACTGTATTGTTTTACCTGCTGGATACCTTGCCTATGGATTAATAATTATTTGTTCCTGAGCCTCACTGGGATCTACAATTGGAGGTAGGCTATGAAATACTAGCTCTCCACTACATATGCTTTTCCTGTTCAGCTGCTTACAGCATTCATATGCTTGAGAGCATTCGTATGCTTCTCCGGTTTGGTGGTTGTGGTGTCTGCTGCAGTGCTTGGAGTCCTCAGGAAGCGCTAGGAGCATCCTTCAACGGAGGTACCCAGTCGGGGTGCCAGGTGATCTGTTACAGTGGTCATGCCCAGAAATCGTAGGTTATGCAGGGATATAGCAAATATTACAGAAGTTGTCTGCAAACTAAAGTTAGCTTTTAACCCGGACACAATCCTTTTCTTCCATATACCAATCTCTCCAGCAAAATTTAAACATTCACTTATGTTGACAGCAGCAAAAGCAGTTATCGCTGGAAAGTGGAAATCTCCATGTAAACCTACCAGAAGAGAATGGTATCAAAAGCTGGATAGTTTCCACAAAATGGAGGAATTGAGATTGACAGCAATGGGTAAACAGCATAAGTTCATATCCATCTGGCAACCGTGGGTACTATACCTGGGAAAGACAGGGGCAACAAGGAGGTCAGAGTAGCACTACCAGGGGGATTAATTACCCCAACAAACAAGTAAAACCGACCACACTTAGGCTTTTTATATATGTTCATTCTTTTTTTTTCTACATTTTTGCAATGTTTTTTCTTTAAGTTCCTGACTTCATGTTATAAATTCTTCGATTTATCAGTCCTTTTATACTCCTCTCATCCAGTTGTACAAACGATATCATGAAGGGGTAACACACAGTGAGGCATTAATGAGGATAGACAGGCCCAGACAATACAGGTCCATGACTTTGAGACTTCAGAAAGAATTACATTCAATCCCAGAAGGCATACAATCTAAGGGTTCAATCAGGAGCGACCCGGGAAAGTTCAGGAGGCCTAAATATAGGGTAGATAAGGCAGTCTTCAACAATATAAAATGTGCGTGCCTTGTTATTTCATACAATGTATTCATTTCACACAATGTATTAATCGAAGTAAAATGCCTTACCGATCTATGTATATGTAACATACCTATACATATATAATGCACATTGTACTGATCCATGTTGAATTTTTATAACTGTATGAAGAGGGAAAAATTATTAAAAAATAAAAAGTGTACATGTTTGTATTCCTGACCCTATAGTGTTCCTTTAAGATAGAAAGCACTGCATATTTGATAGAGCTGTATCTGAAATTTAGAGTTAAGCTGACATTTTAATCTACATTTTGCAAACTTAGATGTTTTAATTGATCTAATAAGTTATATTTTAGACTTTCTTATCTGTGAGCTGGGTATTTGTTTTAATTTCATTTTTACTCCCAGATAATATTTTGCTTTTTCTTTCTATACATGCTGATGATCTTGGCATGTATGTCTACAATCGAGAAAATCCTACTTTCTGCCAAAGTACAGCAGTTTAGCCAGCAAACAAAGACATCTGTTATGTTGAAGACAATCTGTACTGAAAAGTCTCTCAACAAGAAATAGTTTCCGGTCCCCTGATATTTATCAAACATTTCCTGCCAATATAATGGAATTGAGGTCTATATCTGGCAGCCTTATCCTTTGCCAACCTGTAGCGAGGAATCCTAGGAGGCCACATTTGTCACTCATATTTTTGAACTGGACAACATGTAATATTTTAATACTTTAAACATCACCTCTACTATATATGGTTTTAGTAAGCCATGTCCACACTGACTGTGACATAAGATAATCATTCCATACACCAGTTTTAAAATTGTGTGTGTGTGTGTGCGCGCGCGCGCCCCAGAACACTTTTTGGCTTACTACCGATGCATCTTTTCCTGAAAACCATTTAGCTAATATATCCTCTCTAGTTGCTGTTTTTTCCTGAAAACCATTTAGCTAATATATCCTCTCTAGTTGATTATTTTCACTACTATATATGTGTGTATTTATGTGTGTGTATGTTTTTAAAAAACAGTGTCATGTTCTGAATAATAAGTTAAAGTTTATGAAACATATATATCTATGAGTATGACACTTGTAATGTATACATATCTTTGCTACAGGCGTGGGGTTCTTCATCTTCATGAAAGTGCTGGAATCCATGATCTGGGGCTACCAAGGTGGCAACTTACTCTTTGTCTTATTGCTGTCCTTATAGTCTTATTTTTCAGTCTATGGAAAGGTGTCAAAACTTCAGGAAAGGTAAGGCTGTAGTCTAAAACAAATATTCTTTAACATTAATACAATTTATATTTCACTATAGAGCACATGAGTTTTGGCTGACCCATAAATGCAAAAATGCACTTCGTTTTTCATTTTACTAGACAGAAATTGGCACTTAAAAAAAATAAAAAAAATTAACCTTGTTATTCCCCCTGGCAGTCAACTGGTCCTGGTACATCCTACTAGTTAAGATCAGTGGAGATAAATTCAAAGGACAGGAAATTGCTTAGAGCAAAGACTTTTCATTGGCATGTATTGGAAAGTCTGTCATTGGACAGCCACAGAAAGTATGGGATGGGGAATAAAAGGAGAACTTGAAAAGGCTTTAGACGAGCAAAACTTTTAAAAGCTACATTTAGATATATCTCCAATGTAAACAATGCAAACTTAAATGCATGCATGATTTCAAGGGTACATCTTCTAAACGTTGGTTTTTATTTTGTTTGTATTTGTCAGTGAAGTATCCCTTTAATAAAATACATGAAAAATGGTTTTGTATTAGTTTGTATTGTTTAAAAATGACACTCTTAAGCACAACATCACAGAAAATGAATGTTTTGAACCCTGTATCAACATGGAGGATGTGTTAAAGGCCTTGTCTCATGCTACCACAGTGCAACAGGAAACCAGCCAGCTGATAACTGCTCAAATGGGGGCTGTGTTGCAGACACCGCAAGAGGACAGGAATGTCCTGAAGAAGATTGTGCAACTTCTCTCAAAATTACCACAGATGAGCAGAGCAGCGGTTCATGTTAAGGGCTGCACCCAGGGCTGGTGCAAGGATTTTTAGCTACACAGGTGAAGATGCATTTTGCCGTCACCCATACCCCCCTTTAAAAAAAAAAAAAAGCATCTTTACTTGTGTGTCTTGTTGTAACCCCCTTACCCTTTAGATTTAATATTTCTTTATTTGAATTTATAAAAACATAAAGCAAACATATGCATTGAATCATAAATTTACACACTTACATATCTCTTATATTACAAATACAGCTAAAAGCTTACTTTTCTATGTAGAAACCAGAGATAGACTAGGAAGTCATAAATGGGAGAGTGACCGTAAAATGGAAAGGAGGCCCTACCTTCAATTATTCTAGGGATAATAGGAGAAACCGGTAATGTAAGAAAAAACACAAGTGGCAGGGAGAAGCCAAAAAACGTATATTGACTGGGTGTATGAAACAACTCCCCAAAGTAGGGAAAACAACTAAATAGTTAGTCCAGGCCTTAGCTGGGTGCTTACCCCAGCATATATACACAGAGCACACTGGGTAAAAGGAGGAGGAGCAACCCCCCAAAAATACACAAAGTACGATGGCTCAAAAAGTCTGTCCCTATAATTACCTCGGCACCGTGGATAAACCACTAGTGCCTACCTGAACCAGTCTCCCTATCTAAAAAGAAAAGAAACTAAAAAAGGAATCTTAAACTTACTAGTGCATATTATTACTAGAAGGTGAAAAAAGTGATAAAAACAACAAATACCTAGACATGCGTTTCGGCGTTTCACTATGCTGTTGTCAGGAGCAGTGTTCCTGACAACAGTGTGCTGACACGCCAAAACGTGCGTCAAGCTATTTGTTGTTTTTATCACGTTTTTTTTACCTGGTAGCACTATCTTAGATTTCACTTCTTATACTTAAAATATCCAATTTGATGTCCACCATCCTAATGCTTTCTTTTTTCTTTAACAGCCAACCTTTCCACACTTGATAGTATTTTCCATAATTAAGTTGTGCAGAGTAGTATCCCCTTTCCATTTGAGTCTGATGTTTCATCTGATTAATTACATTTTCTATCTTTATTATATAATTTTGACACCAGTTCCTAGCTATAACAATCTTTGCTGCTAGAAGCCCCTCTAGAAATAAAGCCTTATTAGAGTTGAGTGCATAGGCGTGCGCAGCCTATTGCATTAGGGTGTGCACCCTAAAGCACAAACAAACGCCACGTGTGTGTGTGTGTATGTATCTCTCTATATATTTATATTTATATATATATATACACACACACACATACACTGCTGTGTGTGCTGTTAGTGTGATGTGTGTGTGAGGGTGATGTGAGGGTGTTTGTGTGTGATGGTGTTTGTGTGTGTATGTTTGTCCTGTGAGGGTGCTGTTTGTGTGAGTGTCGTGTATTTGTGAGGGTGCTGTTTGTGTGTGAGGGTGTTGTGTTTTTTTTTTTTAAAGGTGCTGTGTGTGTTTATGAGGGTGCGGTTAGTGTACTGTGTGTGTGTGAGCTGTATGTGTGTAGGTGATGTATGTGTGTGTGATGTATGTTTGGAGGGATTTGGCAGATTAGTAAATCCTTGCTGCCATGTGCCATCCCTGGTGGTCCAGTGGAGAGTGAACTCTAGCCTGCAGGGCTAGAGTTAACTCTCGCGAGATCTGAGCGTTGCCGCAGCAACACTCAGATATTGCGAGAGGAACCTGGCGGAGCTTCTGTCTAGAGCTCCCTGGGTCCTCTCCTGCCTCCCTCCATGCTGCTGTGGGCCGGTGAGGTAGATCTTTGGTCTCCCCGCCGGCCCATGGAGGCTTAGAGCAGAGCCGGCACTCAGATAGCGCCGGCTCTGCGTGTGTGTGTATGTGTGTATGTATGTGTATGTATGTGTGTGTGTGTGTATATATGCCCAGGCACACCCAGCACACCCCGTGCGCACGCATATGGTTGAGTGAACCCAAACTGTAAACCAGAACCCGGACATTTCCGTAACAGTTCGAGTTCGATGTTCGGCGATTTAATGGCAGGGCAGCCAATCAACAAGTGTTTGACTTGTGTTGAATCTGCAAACTAATGCAATAATTTTTGTGGGTGCTATACTACATTTTTGTACGCTGCCCTGAGCCAAGTGCCACAGAGAAATAAGTAATCAGTCTGTTTGTTAGGTGGGCATTTTTGCAAGTGCAGTGCACTTGCAACTGCATGTGTGCCAGGCACATTACTTTAATCCTGTTCTGGTAGCTCAGTGGGCAACATCTAGACATTTTTAAATACAGCTGTGACATTGCAGTTTGACTAACTTTTTTTTGGATCTAAAAAGTAAATTTGGGGCGTGCACTTCATATCTGAGAGTCACATAGAGCTGTCAAATACTGTGGTTACATTGCACTTTGAAAAATTAACATTTTTTTGGTGCTAAATAGTACATTTGCGGCGTGCGGTGCATTTCTTGCAGTCCAATAAAACCCTTAAATACTACTGTTACATTGTTGTTTGACAAATTTACATTTTTTGAGACAGTGAAGGAACTGTATTAATTCCGCCTGTCACACTATTGTGTGACCTCTAGAATTTTTTTCTATTGAGGACACCGGCACTGCCTTACTGTCAGTGAACTTAATTGTTGACTATTGGCTGTTACATTGTCGCCTGACATAAACCATCTGTTAGTTTGGTGGGTGAACGCAAAGAATGAGTAGAGCGTCAAATAAGGGACGTGGCCACAAGTCATGCAGCAGTCTCTTATGCTTGTTGATAACTCTGCTAGCGGGGTTTCTGTGGGCCATCCACCTAGCTCTGCCCCAGAAGTGGAAGAGATTGAGTGCACTGATGCACAACCATTAATGTTTCAGGATGTGGACAAGCGAGGACCACCGCAGCACGTCTCTGATGATGACAAAACACAGGTGCCAAAGGCTGTGGCTTTCTGCAGTGTGCAGACTGGAAAGAAAGGCAGGGTTGAGGAGTGGGTGGAAGATGATGTGGAGGATGATGAGGTCCTAGACCCCACATGGAATGAAGGTCATGTGAGTGATGTGTGCAGTGTGAGAGGCGGTGGTCGCACAGAGGCACCAGCACAGCATAAGAGGGAGCAGGGTGCAAAAGCGGAGCGGCCGTCCCCTAGACAGTATGCCTGCTACTACCCACCACACCCAGGGACCAAGCACACCAAAGACCGCTCCAAGGAGTTCCCTGGGGGGAACAATGTGCTGACGACAAGACACGAGTGGTTTGCACACTGTGCAATCAGAACCTGAAGTGAGGAATAATCATTCTAAACCTGAGCACAACCTGCATGACAAGGCATCTACATGCAAAGCATGAGCTGCAGTGGAGTAAGCACCTCAAGAACCAAGAAAGGTCTCAGGCTCCTCCTGCTTCCTCTTCTGCTGCTGTCTCGGCCTCTTCCTCCACCTGTGGAGTGACAGTGGCAACTGCCACCCCACAAACAGAGGATGTGGCAGCAACATCACCACGTCCGCCACCGTCCCCAAGCATCTCCACACTGTCCCATGGAAGCATTCAGCTATCCATCTCCCAAACACTGGAGAGAAAGAGGAAGTACCCCCTACCCACCCGTGATCCCTGGCCCTGAATGCCAGCATTTCAAAATTCCTGGCCTTTGAAATGCTGTCATTCCGTCTGGTGGAGACAGACCGTTTTAAAAACCTGATGGAAGTGGCTGTCCCACAGTACGTGGTTCCCAGCCGCCACTACTTTCCAGGCCAGAGCCATCCCTTCCCTGCACAACCAATTGGCAGACAAAATAAGGTGTGCACTGTGCAACACCATCTGTGACAAGGTCCACATAACCACTGATACGTGGACCAGTAAGCACGGGCAGGGACGCTATATCTCCCTAACTGCACACTGGGCAAATGTAGTGGCGACTGGACCTGAGGCGGATATCACTTTGGCGCATGTCCTTCCACCACCGAGGATTGCAGGGCATTTCTCTTTGCCTCCTGTTGCCTCCTCCTCCTACTCCACTTCCTCCTCCTCCTACCACCTCCTCATCTGGTCAGCGTAACACCTTCACCACCAACTTCAGCACAGCCAGGGGGAAACGACAGCAGGCTTTTTTAAAACTCATACATTTGGGGGGAAAAGCCCACACCGCGCAGGAGCTGTGGACGGGCATGGAACAACAGACCGATGAGTGGTTGTTGCCACTGAGCCTCAAGCCCGGCCTGGTGGTGTGCGATAATGGGCAAAATCTCGTAGCAGCTCTGGGCCTAGCCAATTTGACGCACATCCC